TCGCTACTAGGAGCAAGGATGCTGCTAGGGGCTCCTGGCCTTACTACTAGGAACAAGAAGCTTCTTTATTGGATTCAGCACATTCTTGCTGACGTCGTTCACCGGTCGCGGGCATCGACTTCTCTCAGGACACCGGTCGCGTCGGTGGTCGGCATGCGTCGCCGCCAGGCCATTGAATTTTCCTTGAGAAGAAGTGGCGAAACCAAAGAGGAGTGGGGATAGATCGGATCCCTCTTGGTGTGGGGGTGTTCCGGCTAGCATGTTTCAATTCCGTATCATAACCGCGTCAAAATCATTTGTCTTCGTCGCATCTACAAATCCGGGGCCCAAATTTTGGGGGCAACTCAATGTGTTGGAGATTCTTCAGAAGTCTTGGACGTTTGTGATACGTGACGCCTGTGCGGGACCTGCTAAGGAGCCACCACGAAAGCAGCGTCGGCGCACGAAGTCTGATGAAGATCGAGAATTCGACCAGTGGTTTGACCAGCGGAGGCACGAAGGGCTGACGGAGGGCACAGAGGGCGAACAGAAAAAGATCGGCCAAAATAAAGGACGGACGTTGTCAAAAGCTGGACTTCAACTGGGATACCAAAATATGGTGAGAATGAGCTTTGGATGAGGTCAACGTTTGGAACATGTGTTTTCTTCGACAGGTGTAGTAGATGGTAGCCCTACTATGGATGTCCAGAGCCCATCTCAAAAAGAGTTCATTCCCAAATCATTTGCACTTGACACCACATGGTGTTCATTGTTTTTGCCTCAGAGCATCTCCCCCTGGACTCTTGCAGAGGTCGGAATGGGAGGCATTGGTTGCGGAGGTGAAAGAGGGCGACTTGGATGAGTTGAACGCTGGGGCTTGGGGTCGAAACTGCGGAGATGATCCTGCATGGAGGAGCACCATGACGTGCGTGTGAAGGCTAATTCAAGACGGGTTCATGAGAACACAAGCTAGACATTTGGTTGGTGGAAGGGAAGAAGATCTACAGTGCTTGTTTCATCTTTTTCCAATGTCCTGACGATTGTCCTGACGATCATCGTCGATCCAAGCTGTATCCAAAGTGTCAGGTATCAAATGAAGCCCATTCAACAGCATGTTCGTTGAAGGTGTGGCGGGGTGGCAGCTTTGAAGGACCCAAACTCCTACAGCCTACTGCAGCCCATGTATATAGTACACTAACAGCACCACCCAAAGGGTGCTGTATAGACCCCTCACGATATTCGTTCCATCCAGCAACTATCCTTTGGGTGGTGTTGGCAAAAACATCTCCTTTTGGGTAGATTTCTAGAACCCATCGGGTGTCTTATCCTTATTTTTGGGGGGGAACTGGGACTCTCAGAAAGTCCCAAGGCTAAGGCCTTGTTTGGGTGTTGTTTTTTTTCATTCCGTTGGGCCGGTGCTTCCAAGGTTCGACACGACTCTTCAAAAGTGACGACAAGGCGCGGTGAGAGTTGACGGATTTGCACTTATTTTGTCCGTCATGGGGAAGGTGGAGGTCAGTTTTGCCAAGGGCTGTGCCAGGAGTTGTATGCTTTAAGATCTATTTTCACCAAAAAGTCGGCCATTAGTACAACATAATAAGCATAATAGTGTCATAATTATTGCAATATATATATAATATATGTAAATATATATATACAGTTATGTTGCAATTTATATGCAAAATTGGCAGTTCATCGTTTCTGAGCCGCCATGGGTGCCCGAGAACCAACCTTTTGGCACACCCTTGAATGATGCTTTAAAGTGGTCCTGAAAGAGGCGGCCGATGTCCAATTAGGTGGCTGGCTTTGACTTCAGGGAGCTGAAGTCTGTAACGAGCCCACGACAAGTGTTTGCCGTTCAACCCGGAGCCAGGCTTTCAACAGTGATGTTCAAGACCTCGACTGATATCGATTCCAAATCGAAGCATTCATTCATATTCATTATGACAGCACATATTAGGCTATTCTCCTCTTCTCTAGTCTACTTCTCCTATAGTGGCGCAAGCCATGGAAGCTTTGCGGAAGATGTTTTTCATACGCAAGGGTGCGATATATGTACAATGACAAGCAATGAACATTGACAAGGACTATGCTAGCTGCTAGACACTCAATGTACATGAAGCGGATGAGTCTAAGCCCGTGAAGAAACCTGCTAGGTTTCCTGTATATATGCTAGTCAACATTAGATTTTCCATGACTTTCCTATTACTATTACTAAAAGGATCTAAAAGGTTGTAAACAAAGCAAAGTAGTCATAGCATCCAAAGCAGTCGCGTGCGGAAGCTATACCTTTTACTCAGCGGAAGGAATTGTCCAAGCAGCAACTGCTTTCTGTCGCGCGAGCCTGGCGATACGTTAATGGCAATAAGATGCAATAAGAAAGCATTTGAAATTTGATAGGAATGAACTCCTATACCTGCTTATAAATCATGTCACATGTTTTTGCACCACTTCTTGTCTGCCAGGCACACGAGGATTTGTGAAGGCCCGAAACCAGAGCAAAAAGGATGATGTGCCGCACCATGCCGCACCTATCAGCTTCGTTTCGGAAAACCTTCTTTCTGTCGGACAATGTCATACAACAGTCGCCACTAGGCCGATGGGACTAACCTCAAAGTGCGGTTGTGAGAGGAGGACAGAAACCAAGCGCATATGTATTTATCATATTTATATACTGTAAATGAAATATCAATATCACCATCAAATGATCATATTATTTACAGTTAACCCTGTTTCAGGTCCGTTCTGGTTGGAAGATCCAATGTTTCTTGCAAGGTTTGGCGGGTTTGGTGGACTACTTGTGACTTGAATTCTGGCGCACAACATAACATTTATATCCCAGGGAGTTCCCAGGCGTTATTCTGGCTTGCTCCACTCAGAGCAATCTTCCAACGGTCTTAGTGACTAGAAACTCCTGTGGATGTTTGTATTGCTTGAAACTCAGTGGGACCGGATGCGGAGCACCAACGTCTCTGATTTCGGATCGATTCGAACGGTTCGTTCATCCTCTTGGTTTCGACGTTTGGGAGCTCTTCAACGTTTGATGGCCTCATGAGGTGCGGGGTTGTTGGAGGCATTCAATATCATCCTGTAAAATCCAGTCCCAACCAGAAACAGTTCGAGATGTTTCCCCAGTCCTAGCCACTTCCGAAATGTAAAGGATCTCAAGGTGCCGTATTGGGGTCCAAGTTCCAGTGTTTCGGGTTTCCAGAATTCGATGCCTCAAACCATGAATTCGGGTCCTCCGCGCACGTGTGAGACGTTCCGCCAGCGTTGTGGGCTCCTCCGGCGCGGACCTCCATCCGCGAGTCCCGGTTTCCCGGCGATGAAGCGAAGGTGCGCCCGGCGAAAAGCCGAAAAGCCAATAAAGCCTACGGATATGGGAGCCAAAAGTAGAGGTGCCCAAACAGAGAGGATGATGAGGATGGCACGGTTTCCAATATGTTGAAAGGGAGTGTACTTTTCAATCTACTTGGGGGTATATGTGTAACGGATGGATTGAAGTTGAGGTTGTGACCTCTATAGAGAAGACTTCTTCGCAGAGCTCTAGACGCTGTCTACTTCGGTGTTTCGCAGCAACGTGTCTACTTTGATGTTCACACTGCTTGAGTTTTGAATGTACAGACCTAGGCTGTGGAATCAGATTGGACAGTCTTTTAGATTGGACAGTCGTTTGTGGAGAAACATGTGCGAGTATCTTAATTTTAAAGTGAGAGGCCCCAGTTCGATCCTCAGGAAGCCTGAGAGAAGAAACCAACGACCCCGGCCTCGCGACACGCAGGACGGTTTGTGGATCACCTGCAGGTCACCCGTTTTGCACCCGAAAACACCCCACAATACAAGAATTGGACAGTTCAGTTCAGTTCAGCTCGAGAGTTTTTCTTCTCCAGGTCTCATGGCCTTCCCTTGCTGGCGGCACTTGCACTCACTGCCGCTGCCTGCGCCTTCGTGGGTGGTGGTGGCGGCACCCTCAGGAAACCTGTTTGTTTTGTCACGGATATATACCTGTCAGGGATTCTGATGTCGCTCAGAAAACGACATCTTCCTTACAGACAGGTCAGATATTTTACTGGAGTGGATCAGTGCGTCATACAAGAAAACACTATACTCTGACTTTTAAATACTCTTACTGAGGTTGACAGGGACCAGGTTTTGCTAGGTCAAACGGAACCTGTAGGGCCTTCCTTCTTCTCCAGAAAGGAACCTCTTTGAGCGATTTCATCCTCTCTTCACAACGCCTCGAGAGCCCTGAGTTCAATCACAACGCCCCAGACTTCGAACGCTGCGTTCCGGGGGCCCGGCTTGGACGGACGGAGCGACGGAGGGTGAGGCGAGCATGACTGGGGGTCCTTCGTCAAGAAAGTCGTCCGGACTCAATGACAACCAATGTCTTCGCAGCTTGGGCAGACGGTCCTTTTTGGGTGGGGATCGTTGTGTCCTAGCCTTTACGGAAATCAAGGTCCTTTTCATGTCTCACTTGATGGTTTCTTGTTCGCGAGTTCCCTTCGTTTGCGTCACAGAAGTCGGTCGGGGGCGATGTTTCAGAAGAAATGTTTCAGAAGTTGTTGTTGTAGGGTGAAAGTGGAGATGTTTTTTCGGGGGTCAGACAGTGCAGGTAGGGTCGAAGGCATAACCAACAGGTTGGCCTTTTACAACCTTGGTTGGTTGATACATAGAGGGGCATACCATGGGCATACCCTCAAGTGTACATGAATAGAGGAGCATAGCCTCAAGTGTACAACCAATAGGATCCAATGAAGGTCAATAGGTATAGTACTTGGCACCGACCCCTGCAATTCATCTCGACCTCATCGGCAGATGGGAGATGTATCTGAGGCAGAGCCGAAGAGGAGGAGGATGACCGGCTGGCGGCCTTTTGGATCGAGGACCCTCAACGATCGGTCGAGAAAATGCAAGGAAGCCAACGGAGCGACGGACGGAAACAGATATGATATAACCTATACCACGTAGGTGTTACATGAGGTGTTTTTTGCCAATTTTGTTATATTGTGTTTGTTTGCTTGCTTGCTTGCTTGCTTGCTTGTTTGTTTGTGTGTGTGTTTTGTTTTCTGAGCAAGCGCGACCTTCCAAAAGAAGAAAAAACGGACGATATGTTGGAATGGACCTGCTAGGAGAAACAGTCTGATAACAGACTGATCAGGAGATAGGTGCGTCCATGATCGTTTTCACCTTGGCGAAGACCCCTTTGCACCAAATCTCCATCATTTGCATCGTCCTTTGCACACATCTGGGCCTTGACCCCGGCCACAGAAGAACCCTTTTCATCCTCCCCGTCCCGGGCTGGCCACGTCACGGGTTTCACCGGTTCCGCCCGGTCCCCAAAGGACGTGTCACCAAAAGGGCGAAAAGTGATAGAGGTGCCAGCGAACGGTCGCCCGGAAATGCGCGTCGTTGAGCGTGAAAGGAAAAGCATTGAAAAAGGAGTATTTATGCCCGGTGAACAAGAGGGTTAATTCGCAGGAAGTACAAGTTAACTTGCAATCCCCAAAACAGTTACGCCGACCGACAATACCTGTAGGTTTATCATTCCATCACTGTTTCAGAGCTGCGTTTTCTTAGCTGCGGAGACTATGAAAAAAGTTTGGGTAATCAAGTGTGCACATCTTTGGAGAGCGCTGCTTTCTCAATACCGGTGAGCTTTTTTGGGAGATGTGTCCATTTGTTGGTTTGTTCTAACCTGATGATTCTTTGCATATACAAGCTACGAGTTTCATGCGAAGGACCTACCATCCCACATCAGAAGGTTAAGAATGTCCCCACATCGACGTCCTTCGCAGAATGATATTTGATTATTTGACGAAATCCTTCTTTTGGCCTGTTCAAGCGGCGCCAGCCGTTCCGTCCGTCCCATCCCGCTGGAAGGCTTTCGGGAATCGTTTTGGTTCTTCATGCGGGTTACCATCTTCATGCGGAGTCATTGATGGTATTTCATGTTTCCTTTGTTTGGTGAGGGGCTTGAGGAGGTTTCTCCAATTTTACCGCGACTAGGCACTAGGCACCCGCGGTATTGGGGCAGGCACCAATTTGGTCTTGAGCACTTGTTGCGCATCTTGTAAGTGGCCAAGTCTTGGGCACGTTACACGCGCAAAGAAGCTGAAGTGTGCCGGTTCATGCCAGGTCTATCAAAAGCTTTCAGCACTGAAAGGAGCTGAACAAAGCCAGATGAAGGAGGTGTGGTTTTTTCCTCGCCATGAGCTGAATCATTGCGGTTTCTATTATTCAAGTTTACAAACTGAATCACCTCTTATTAGGGGTGTATAGTGGATCCAACATGTCCATGTTTATACTTGTACATATCTCTATGGTTGCTGGTGAGAGGGTAACTGGAATTTGACCCCCATAGGTGATGAGCTCCCTTCTAGCCACTCTTTGAAGATGGGCCTCCTCATTAATGCTGATGGCGGAGACATATCACAGACTGTTCCCCAAGTCGTTTCGGAAGGGTTTGAAGGTGGCCACGGTTGGTTGGATGTCCAACGAAAGTTTGAGGCCCGGTTGGCCTCCCCGAAAAAGCACTGAAATCACTACAGAGCCGCAAGTGCGGCAGTGCGGCTTTGCCAAGATCTATGGAAGGTCATCAAAGATCTGTGGCAGGTGATGGATGAGCTGGACTCCGAGCAAAAGGCGATGACGTTTTCCTTTTTTTCGCACCATCCGCGGTGCATGGGACAATGTGGCAAATGAAGAGCTCAGCTTTGGGTCTATGACCACCGATGGTAGTTTGATGATGTTTGATGTAAATATAGTTTGGGGAGTCTTCAATTGACCGTCTTGCCAGGGGTTCCCACCACGCGGAAGGCCTTATCTCCAAAAAGAACGGGTAGGTTGCCATGATGAGTATCAACAAGACAGCGCGCACTACCAGATACTAAGTGAAACCTTGACGCCTAGACCCGGTCCAACAGTCCCTTGCAAAGCTCGTTTGCAGTCATAAGGAACCGTCCGGTTGGATGGCCTTCAGAGTCACGTCTGCCCGGCACCTGACAGCGCCGGCACCGCGCCAGAGGGGATGCTGAACAGCGTGCTGGCCACGCGGAAAGGCGCGTGCCGGGATCCGCATGTGATAAGACTTGTATGACTTGTATGATTGCGCTCGTGTGATACTGCTCTTATCTTGATGCTCATGTCTTGATGCTCATCTTGATGTTCATGTGATGATAGGCATGTGATGAAGGAATATGAGGAAGGAATCTACCTTTAAGAAAAACCCTTCGCAATCGCTCTCGGGAAAAACATGATGAAAGAGTAAAATGTATTCGAACCAATTCTGAAATCTGCATCAAAGCATGGCATCCATCAAATATCCATCAAATCACCTCCCAAGTCCACCTGGATCCACCTGGGTGGCGCCACGAGATGCACCCGCACCGCGCAGACCTCGATCGCCCCGTCGAGTCGCCGGACCCGGAGAACGGCGACTCCCCCGAGAGGCTGGGGTCTGATGCAGAGGGTTCGGTCGTTTGTGGCGCCTCGGGACCCGCAAGGGGTGCGGAAGGGCTGCCGAAAACGGAGGGATGCCTCCGGTCAGA